GAGCTGTTTACAGATATGAGTCATAGGTTATAAGCAAATTGTAGTGAACGGAGAGTAAGCAGGAGGGAAGGAAAAGATGGTGATTATCATCATAATACTATTGGCTTCCACTGGTACAACATTTCCTATGTTCCAGGCACTATTTTAAGTCATAACTCATTTAACTCTCAGAACAAACCTTTAGGAAACACCCTGTGGTTTTACTGTTTCTCCCGAGAGGATGAGTAACTTGTCTGAGGTCACACATAATGACAATGCTCTGAAAAAGTTTTGTACATGAAGGAGAGGAGAGATTTATTTAGGAAAGTAGATAGAGGGGTTGACTCTAAAAGTAGCTTAGAGGGAAGCCCCTGGTTTGCTTTTGCAGCGATCGGAAAAATGTATTTCTAGCCCCTCAATGATATGGAGAGATGACGGCCGTATCTCCCATGTTCCACCCCTGCATCTCCCATGTTCCACCCCCGCCCCAGGAGAAACGGAGGCATGTGTCCCAGTCATGGCCCCAGAGAGTCTGAGCCTTGTTCAGCTGCCAAGGAGGATCAGAGTGGTAAATGCTTTGTGTCAAAAGTTATCATCCTTAGACTAAAAATCCCTTTTAATTCTATTTTTACATCTGTGTGACAATAGAAGGAATGACTGAGCTGTTTTTAGGTGTGGAAATCAGACAATGGGACAGTATCCACTCTGTGTGGTCTAGTTTCATGGTATTCAGGAAGTTGTGGTCACCTGCTCTGAGACTAGGGTTAAGTGTCACTTCTCTAGGACGCTTTTCTGATCCCCCAAAGGGAGCCCATCACACATCCACTGAACTCTGCGTGCCCCTTTTCGTAACCGTCATCTCTAGTTTGACTGCTTTTTCTGTGTCTGCCACCCACGCCTTTAGTCCCCACGGAGGATTGAGTCTGCCTTGTTCTTGGCACCATCCCAGCCCCTGGTACAGGGCTTGGCACATGAACCAGTGAGTGAACTTAAAATTGCCAAGTTAAATTTCAAGTGAATTACATTTTGCCGTTTTGTGTCAAATTTCCAACCTAATAACCCTCTAGATGCTGTACCTCCAGTCCACAGCATTTCTGTTGTATCGCTTGAGCTGAGCCTCAAAACAACCTGAAGTAAGGATGGAAATTATCCCAGAGTACAGATGAGGAACTAGAGTCAAGAGAGGAAGTGACCTTCACATGCTCACACAACCGGCCAGGGGCAGAGTTGGGTCCTCAGATTGTAATTCTACTGTCACGTTCACTAGCTGTCATTGGACAGTGTCCTCTGTGAGTACAGAAAGCTGCTTCTGTGGATTGCAAAAGGTTGACTGAGTCACTTTGAAATATCTATTCCATCACTCTCCTTTATTCTTGATGTCGCCTGCCTTAATAGAATTAGAGTAGAAACCTTCCTCCACTGTGCTGTCTATACAAGGAAGTGGAGGAGGTCTGGAAAAGTCTCCCAAGGGACCCAGTGACCCTTGGCAGTGTGCTTCCCACGTGGGAGGCAGAAAGCTTACTGTTTGGATACTCAGAGGACATTTTGCCCCGATAGGGCCAGCCCTGCCTTTTCTAGCATCATTCTGACTTTAAGCAAGAATTATGGGAAAACGTTAGCAACAACAGAAAAAAAAGCAGCAGCTGGTGGGAGTTGGGGGCGTGAGGGTGGGGAGGAGCGGTCACTAACCCTCCCTCTCCTGGGCAGGTTCAACCATTAGAGGAAACAAGGTAAGGGATATGTGTGTGGAGGGTGGGGATGGGCACACACTCCTGTCTCCAGCCTCTGAGACGTAGAAGGAATAAGGGGTCCTGCAGTATCACCACGTACAAAACACAGAGGGTGGGTTTGGAGCTGGGGCCGCTGGCACACCTTGTAGGAGTATGCCCTGGATCTGAGGACGGATATCAGGGATGTATGAGAATATGTGAAAACCACCCAGTGATCACAATCTCTCAGACCCTCAATTTCTAAATCTGAAGAAAAAAAATGAGGACAATGACTTACTGGTGAGATGTATGTAAACGACACGGCCTGAAACAGACTGTTGGTGGATGATTGTTTTTTAGTTCCTGTGCGCCTTGGAGGGGAAGATGGTGTGGAAATGGAGTGAGAGGATATGAGGCTTTGAATATCTGAAGATAAGGTTATTTTCTAGACTTGAGAGGGTATAGCAGCTGACAGATGCTGGGAATGCAATTGGCTTTAAAGATTTGGATTTGATAAAACTGGGGAAAATATTTACGGAAATTATTTTCTACAATCTAAATGTTAGGTAGTTTAGATAGAAATGAGTGCTGGGCAGGGGGAGAGGAAGGGGAAGGGAACAATGCAGAACACAAGGAACCTGAGCTGTCAATCAACCAGAGTGATGGAACCTGAGTTGTCCATCAATCAATCATCTAATCAATCAATTATGAAACCAGGGTATAAAAACAGGAGAAACAAAGGAACAGCGCCATTTTTCCTCTCCTGGAGCAGCCCGCTTCCGCTTCTCAGGAGGGTACTATCTTTCACTATTTTTTTAAACTTCACTAATAAAAATCTTGCTTATATCACGCTTTCTGTCTCTCATCAAAAATTCTTTTTTTTTCAGGTGACTAAGAACCGAGGTAATTCTTATTTCCCTTTTCCCGGTAACACTGATTTTGGTGCTGTGACTCAGATTGCGTGCTTCAACCTAATCTTTCCTCCTCCATCTC